CGTCGGTAATTGACTGGTTTCATAGTTACCTGTTCGGCCGCCGACAGCGTATTCACCTTGAGGATTCTAGGTCTTCATGGTGTTCCACTGCTGCCGGCGTACCTCAGGGTGGCGTTTTATCTCCTCTTCTCTTCACATTATTCATTAATTCTATTTCTCAAGGTATATCTTCTTCCTACCACCTTTACGCAGATGATCTTTAGATCTACACTCAGGCTTCTCTTGAAGATTTACCAGGCGCCATTAGATTAATTAACGACGATATGGCACGAATAGGTGACTGGAGTTCCAAATTTGGTTTGCTAGTAAATCCATCAAAAACGCAAGTGACTATCATAGTGTTAGACGACGAAAATCAACTAAATGAACGTCACTAGTTTAATCTATGTTATCGACAGCACTAGCTGTCATATTGACGATGTCATCTGTCAAATGGGACAGATTAGAAAAGTTTCCCGCGTAAAGTGGAGTGACGCGCGATTCTGGTGGGAAGTTTGAAGAGCATTGCGCTGTGGTCTTAAAAGAATCCGTTTATAAGAAACTTTTCAGTATTTAAGTATTGAGGTTTACTTAAAAATAGGTAGTGCGCGTACCGTCTCCAAAATGAATTGGACAAGTCTTCCCCAAGTTTTTTTTCTAAATACGAAAATTTGTTTCTCCCGTGATGTTAAGAACCTGGGGATTTACATCGACAGTAACCTCTCCTGGAATAAACAATTGCAGGTGGTCAGTCGAAAGTTGTTTGCTTCAGCAGGCTCCATAAGGCGTCTTCGTAATTTCTTACCCACTAAAACCAAAGTTGCACTTGCACAGTCTCTTCTGCTACCAATACTCGACTGTGCTGATGTCAGCTACCTAGGACTCACCCAAGATTACAATTGGACAAGCTTAAGCGCCTTCAAAACCTTTCTATCAGATTTATGTTTGGTTTGCGCAAGTATGATCATGTTTCTGAATTTCATAGTAAGCTCAAATGGCTGCCTATCCGCCTTCGCCGGAACGCTCATATCCTTTTGTTACTATTTAATGTACTTTTTAATCCTGCTGCTCCTTTCTATTAAAAGGAACGATTTCAGTTCCTGGGTGTCACACATTCGAAGTTCCTGAGATCATCGGAAAATCTTAAGCTCAGCATTTGTAAGCACTCCACTTGCTTTTATGACAAGTCTTTCACAATACAAGCGGCTCGGTTGTGGAATGTGCTGCCGGTGGAAGTGCGACATGCTCAAACTCTGGGTCAGCTTAAAGGACGTGTGGAGGAACACTACTTGTCACTGTAGATATGCTTTTGTCCTTTCATTATGGATGAACACATCACACACACACATACACAACACATACACACACATACACGTAACTATATATATAGTTATCATATTACATTTAAGTATATATTTATTACATAGTATTGCCCATTTTTATCTTTTATGTCTGTAAGTTTTATTGATTGTTTTTGATTTGTTGTTTATTGTTTTTCTTTTATTGTGCATCTACCACCCATCCCTTTGTTTTTTTTTTTGAGGGGGGAAAATCATCCAATGACTTCTCCCGCCCGGGTGAGGCGAGAGGGAGTGTCAGACTCTTACTGACTAAAAACCACCCCGTTCCTACTCCTGCACTTCGAGCCGGAGCCCCGGCAACCCGTTAAGTCTTCCGCGGCTCCGTATCGGCATTAGCCCTGTTGGGCCCCATCCGTGGTGGTCTGATGGCTCTTTGAGGCGCGCGCGGAACGCGACGCGCCGTACGCTCGGGCCTGGTTCTGGTCGGGCGGCGAGTCACCCGTGCTCGCCGTCCGCAGGCCCATGCTTACGGTGGCCGGAGATCGTCTCGCGATCCCCGACGCCCGGAGTGTCTCTCGCGACGGCCGGGGCGTGAGGAGGTTCGTTCCCTCACGCGCTCCGCCTCCTCCTTAGCTAGCATAACTGCTTCGCAAAAGGAGGAGACGGCATCCCAGTCCCCCTCGCTCCGTACCATGGTCTGAACCAGAGCCGGACGCGAGAGGTCGCCGTCGCCGATCACATTCCTGAGGACACGGCGGTGCTCAGTCCACGCAGGACACACCGCCACCGTATGCTCCACCGTGTCCTCCGGGCGATCCTCGCAGTGATGACACCCGGGCGTTTCCTCCCGCCCAATCCGAAACAGGAACCTACCGAAACTTCCGTGTCCGGTAAGCACCTGCGTCAGGCGGTAGGTGAGGACGCCGTAGCGTCTCTCAAGCCACTCCTCAAAGAGGGGACTTACCGCTGCAATGACAGCGAGCCCAGCCTTCGGTTGCGACAGTCGTTGCTGCCATTCCGCCATGAGATCACGCCGGAGCTCATCCCGCCACGCATTAATCTGGCGCGGCAGCGGAGATTCGCCCCGGCGACGTGCCTCCGCGCGCAAACAAAACACGCGCGCGAGCACCTTCGCCTCCAGATCCCACGGCGGTAATCCGGCAAGGAGGTTCGCCGCCTCCCCGGAGATCGTGCGATATCCGCGTATCAATCGGATCGCCATGACCCTCTGTGATGTGAGCAGCGCCCGAGCGGGCCGCCGCATCAGGTTCGGCGCCCACACAGGGGCGCCGTAGAGGGCCATGGACCGCACGACCCCGGCGTATAACCTCCGGCAGGAGGCGTTTGGCCCCCCGAGGTTGGGTAGGAGGCGCTTAAGCGCCGCCCCCGTCCTTTCCAACTTAGGAGCCAAACGTCGGAAATGCTCCACGAAGTTCCACCGACTGTCGAGGACGAGTCCTAGGTACTTCATCGTCGTCTCGACGCCGATGGTAACTCCTCCCGCCGTTATTTGGGACTCACCCGGAGGTGGCGCGTTCCCGCGGCCATGAAAACACATGGCCTCGGACTTGTGGAGCGCCACCTCGAGTCCCAGTTGCCGGATCCTTTCAACGACTGTCGTAACCGCTCTCGCCGTTAAATTAGCCGCCGCCTGATGCGACCTCCCTTGTGCTAGCACCAGTGTGTCGTCAGCGTAACAGACCACGCTGACGTTGTTCGGGAAATCGGTGCGCAGCACCCAGTCATAACCGATGTTCCACAGGAGCGGCCCCAAAACCGAACCCTGTGGAACACCGCGCGACGTCTCTCGCCGGTTCCACTCACCTCGGTGACCGGGGTAGATGACAGACCGGTCCGTCAGATAGGCTTCGATTACACGACGGAGATAGGTGGGCACGCGATGGTATCTGAGTGCCTCCAAAATGCAGCTCCAGGGCAGGGAGTTGAAGGCATTGGCGATGTCCAAAGACACCGCCACTACGACCCTCCCCCTGGACACTGCAGTCCCCGTTGTGAGGTCTCTTACACGCATGATGGCGTCCACCGTGGAGCGTCCTCTGCGGAAGCCGAACTGGCCGTCCGACAGGTCCGGCCCGATATCCGACAGGTGCGCGACGAGGCGGTTCGAAATTATCCTTTCGAAAACTTTTCCCACCTCGTCGAGCAACACTATGGGCCGGTACGCGGACGGAGAGTCCGCAGGGCGCCCCGGTTTCTTCACGAGGACCAGTTTACCCGCCTTCCACAATAGCAGGAACTGGCCCCTCTCCAAGCATGCGCTGTAGAGACCAATTAATCGAGGCTTGAGAGCCTCCGAGGCCAGGACCCATGCCTTGCCGTGCAGTCCGTCGGGTCCCGGGGCGGTGTTTTTGGCGCCCATTCGGCGCACCGCCGCTCTCAACTCGGCCTCGGTCACCTCCGAGACTGTATCGCCGTCGTCTTCGATGTGGCCCACATAGGGCACCGCAGGGGGCGGAGTCATGGACGGAGGGGCGAAACCCCTCTGTATTCGGGGGAACAAAGCGCCGACCACCTCCTCCACTACCTCTGGCCGGAGACTCTGAGTCAGCGGGGGAGCCCATGTGCGGAGTTTATCCCGCACCATCCGATAGGGGCGTCCCCACGGGTCTCTGTTCAGAGTCTCCAAGAACTCCCGGCGGGCATTCTCCTTAGCCCGCCGTATCTCCGCTTTGAGGGCGGCCTTCGCCGTCTTGTACCCCTCGTACAGCTCCGCCTCTCTGACCTCTGCGTCCTGAGGACGGATACGAAGCCTGCGGTGCCTGGTGTACCGATCTACCACCCATCCCTAGATTCTTTTCTAAAATTCCATCCAAAGGTTGTCTGGAAGAAATCGCCGCATGTGATAAGACCGCCCATTGTACTCAAATTACAATTGCAATGTTTACATTTTTCTTTTCTTTGTGTGCAATAAAGTATAGATAAATAAATAAATAGATAAATAAATATGTGAGTCTGTGTGTATATTTGTCACTCAGTCACATCAAAACGGCGAAAAGGAACCTGGATGAAATTTTGAACAGAGGTATATAGATTATGGTCCGAAGTAATATACCTCTACAGGCTACTATTTACCATTGGGAACGGGGCCGTAGCCACAGGCAGAAAAGCTAGTTTTGTAATAAATCGAAGTCCCGCACTAATGACCTTTCCGACATATTATTTTTTATGGAATAGAAGGCAAACGAGCAGACGGATCACCTGATGATAAGCGACCAGCGGCGCCCATGGACACTCACAACACCAGAGGAGTCACAGGTGCAATATAGATAACATTTAATAATATTATTCAATGATTTTATTTAGCTGCTCGTTGGCCGAGTGGTCGCAAGAGCGACTGCGGGCAAAGTATTATTGGGTTTTTAAAAAAAATCTCAGTAATAGCACGGAGTCCGGAAATGTGCCCGGTACATGGCAATAGGCTCACCCCCTATTACATGGGGCTCATAACATAAATAGTGAAAAGTGGGTGTTACTTGTGTTCACCTCTGCCTACCCTTTCGGGGATAGTCGCGGAGAACCTAACGGGTAACCGGGGCTCCGGCTCGACGTGCAGGAGAAGGAACGGGGTGGTTTTAGTCAGTAAGAGTCTGACACTCCCTCCCGCCTCGCCCAGGCGGAAGCAGTCATTCGATGATTTTCTCCCCTTAAAAATAAATAAATAAATGATGTTATGTTATGTTATGTTACAATTTTATTTAGGTGAATGGAAGAGGGACATTTGGATGTTTTGGAGATGGAACAGGGTATGTGATTATAAAGACTCTAAAGGCAAGTACCAATGTGAATTTTTCCGAGTTAGTTATATTATGTATTTACTTTCCAAGATTGTTTAAACTCCGCTGACAAACAGTAAGTGAAAATATCGTGAGGAACCATGGCTTATAATTTCTAATAATAAGTTGAAAATTGCCAATCCAAATGGAGCAAAAGTACCTAGTGATTAATGCTTCAACCTTCTCCGTTCAAGAACAGGCTTTTGGTCAGCAGTGGCCACTTATACGCTGTTCATGATGATGATAATCGACAGGATTAGGATTATTGTTTTTTCTTTACTCATTACAGAATATTACCCTCTATCGGATCATGGATCATATGAATTAATAGATAGATTTCCTTGGCCACATGTTTGATTATGTAAAAATAATAATAAAATAACTGAAAAATTTTTTTTTATTATTTCTAACATAACGTTAAAGAGTATAGGCCGGCACAGACCTAGCTATAACATATATATTATCGTAATACTAACCCTAAATTGTTACATGGACGAGGTGGCTGAGTTTTAAAGACCAGAATATGAAAAAAAAAGAGAAAGAAAGAAGAAGATTTATATTAAAAACACAAAGCGTATGATCAACCTAGAAAGATTTATTCTTTACAAAACATTTTTATTAACCCTTTGTGTGTCTAAACGTGGATCCACGGGAGACACAATGTATTTTCTATTGTGTCTCATATCGGTGCATTCAAGCGGTTAAACTAAATTTATTTATTTATTTATTTTAATTCGGGTAACCAACAGCTATAAAACAAATAATAAAATTTCAGAATATGCTAATACAAAGCCAATTATAGGTTTCCACGCCTAGCTATAGTATATCTTTACAGAGGTTTTGGGAATACAATGCACATAAAAGTATAAAACATGGATAATCATTTAAAAAATTTTAGGTTTAGTCGCCTACCCACCCTGGAACTGCTTGTGGTAAATGGATCAAGTCCTAAATCCTTGCACAATCTATTATAATACCTACTCACTCGCACAATATAGGAATTTTGTCTATAATTTGAGGAAGAAGTTGGGACAGCAATTGGTGGGTTAAATCGAACCGACTTTTTCGGAACATTAAATGACAGCTTATGCAAAAGGTCTGAGCAATCGATTTCGCTATTCAGTATCTTGGCAAAATAAGTGCAATCCGCTATTCGACGGCGATTTATAAGTGGGTGGAGATGAAATTTTTTGCATAGTTCCATATAATTCTCCGATCGATACGGTATCTTCAGACGAAAACAAAGAAAGCGAATAAATCTTTTTTGGATGCTCTCAATGCGGTCTATGTACTTGTCATAGCAGGGGTTCCAGATTTGGGAAGCATATTCACGATGGCTTCTGACGAATGTGCAGTACAGGATCTTAAGTGTTTTGGCCTTTCTGAAACAGCCCCCGAGCCTTTGTACAAAACCCAGTGCTTTAGAGGCTTTTGCCACCATTTGCTAATGTGAGTATTAAATAAAAGTTTTGAGTCATGGTAAACGCCCATCCCGCACTCCAAGACTACTAGATAATATTTGGCCCTTTAAGTTATAGGTAGTCTGAAATGGAACACGCTTCCTGCTAAACGTAACAACAGAGCATTTAGCGGGGTTTAAATCTAACCTGTTGGACTGACAGTAATCGGTCAGACGGTTCAAGTCAGACTGTAGTGACAGCATATCATTAGTTGATGATATGGAGGTAAATATCTTCATATCATCGGCAAAACAAAGAAGTTCAGAATTATGAAAACAAGAGTTTATGTCATTGACGAATATTATAAACAGTAATGGTCCCATTAAGGATCCCTGGGGCACCCCACTGGGAATTGAAACCCAGCTTGAAACATAATTACTGACAACTACGGCTTGCGACCTATTCTCCAAATAAGAGCAGAACCAACGATGAAGGTCCCCTCTAATACCAATCAAGTGTAGTTTCATTTTTAGAATGTAATGATCGATTCTATCAAAATATTTGCTATAGTCCGTGTAAATCACATCGACCTGCTCACCATTGTCCATTCTCTCCGTCAAATAGTCATTTAAAACTAATAGATTCGAAACCGTAGACCTTCCCCGAAGAAACCCATGCTGGGATGAACTGAACGACAATTTCAGTGCTGCATACACTTGATCATAGACCACTCTCTCAAATACTTTAGCCAATATGCATAGTTTAGAAATTGGTCTATAGTTTATAATTTCATTCTTATGTTATGACCCTTTTTATGTACCGGAGTAATAAACGCTGATTTCCAAATATGAGGCACAACACAAGCGGAGAGTGATTTTTTAAATAGTAGGGAAACTGGTTTAGCAATTGTCTTTGCACATCCAATAAGGAATTTAGGTGATTAATGATCAGGGCCAGCCGACTTAAAACGGTCAAGTGTACTGATCAATTTGGTAATGGAATCCAGATTAACTTCAATCGTGTGTATGTCCGTCACCACATTTGAATGGCTGTCCGCCAGATACTGGCCAAGATCCGTGGTGGTCATGTTCCCATCTGGGGCAAGAAAGGTAGAGAGAAAATGAGCAGAAAAAACCAGAGCCAAACGTCTGTAGCACGTGAACACCCGGGTCGGCTGGTGGTTGATGCAGATCTCCACGCCCAGCGCGTAGGACGCGAGCAGCGTTGGCACCGGCAGCAGCTGGTGGACGATTCTTTTCCTCACCAGGATTGCCAGTCCTCTGTAGGTCATCCCTGATGGCGAGATGTGGTCTAGCCTAGCTTCAATAGCCTGGTCTTGCCACTGGTCTAGACAAGTGGCAAGGCGAGATGCTGCTAGCAGCAGCTTCAATAGCCTGGTCTTCTTGGGGGACATCCCTTTCGTGTTTCAGAAAATGATGCTAAGGTGCCGCTGGCCCATCGCAGATCAGGAATTTGATTGCGCCTAGGAGTAGCGGCACTGGATCGCACCGCTGTTGTATGAGCACCATCACGATTCTCTGCAGGATACGGACGACATCGTTTATATGAACTGAATGCGTTATTCCTCTCCTTTTTATAACCGGTCACTCGGTCCGATTCGCTGGGTGGAGGTTTTATCTGAGACGGCCGTTCCTGGCAGGCCAGCGTCATCGACCGCAATACCACTTGCATTATGAGCATCAAGTCCATCTCTCACTTCATCTGTTTCATCCCTTGCAACTTGTTCATTATCATCCAAATCATACTTCGAAATATACGAACTATAAGAACTTATAAGAAATCTAAATTTACACAGTATCGTGTTATAGCCTGAAGCCTCCTCTATTGCATGTACTATGAGTGCAAGCGTGGACTCAAGCGCTCAAAGCTAAGGGCTACCGAAAAGTAGGTAGTAGGACATCGAACAGCTGTAGTCTTAAAACAAATAAATTAAAATTCAATATACTCGCCAAACACTGTCATAGTGACAGTCCCTTTCAGTAAAAAGCACGCTCTTTCCTGTAAGTAAAACCTGTTTCAAAATGAAACAGAGACCCTTTTGCATGTTCTCAAAGTGGCCTAAACACATTAGCGCCATTACCATCATTCACCACTTTCGAAGAAAGGTAAGCACGCAATCACGCATCCGATGTCCACTCGCATCGCCACAACATCATGTTCTCTTCTGCAGCTTGAGTATTTTACCTATAAGACCCAGCTGCTAGCTCCAACTTACATAGCGGTGACACGGTACCACGCGAATAACCTTGTAAGACACATGCCGGAGTCCTGCTTTCTAGTGATTGATTTGTGCAGACTTGCTTACGTACACAAAGTCTCCGACAACAAAGGTCGTAGGGCGCCCTAGCGCATTACGGCAGTTGTTTTGTGATAATTGACTAACATAGATAATAATACTTTATAGGTTATGTTAGTCGATTATCACAAAACAACTGAACCAGAAACGAAAAAAAAAATTGAAATCATCGAAAACTAATGTTAGGTAAAAAAAATACGAAAAACATCGTAGAACATACATGGGGGTGATTTAGATACTTCTAAATTTTATGCTTGAAGTCAAGATGCCCGGCCACGGTGGCCACCCTATACATTTTATGCCCTGAAACCCTAGAAGCGTTACAAATGCATTCCCGGCCTTTTGGGCATTAGGTATTTGAAGATTATTGGGGATTTTAAACTTGAGGTGGGAGATAATTGGCCCACCAGTAACACATGATGAAACAACTCAACCGTAGTTTCATGAAGGTTTTCTGTGATGCCTTGGTATCACTCCGGTGGAGCCGGTCGAGTCCCACACATATATATAACATAGATACTGGATAATGGGATAAATTATAAATCACTGCATTTTTTTATAGAAATTCAACCAAAACTGAATCCAATAACTTTATTGTCATTAAAACTAGGACCGTGGCACATCTCTGTAAGATATTCGACAAACATATTGGACCATTTCCGTAATGACAGTAATAAATTCAACTACGGCATCTCGTCTGCACGCTGTTGGCATTACGCCAAATTGTAGACATACGTACCTCTCTTCGCATGCGTTAACACCTTAGTACACATGGCCATACATCAATCTATACAAAACCAGTTTATCCTGGTATCGCGTTGCTTCATCTTGCGGTACTTGCTGAACCTAGTGATCAGGTTGGCCGGCAGGTAGGTAGGTAGGGGTCCAAATAAAGTACACGATTTGGTAGAAGGTACACTCTATTTGAACCAACTACTGTTGCCCTAATCACATCCAGGTTTGAGTAATAGTAGCTCTGCCGGCGGTCCGGTCACGTTCACAAGTTGCACTTCCAGGTCCTCAGCAGGTAGTTCCCGACTAGGATGAGGTCTGGTCTCCCACTCGCCGCCAGGGTGCGAAGCGAGAGTCTAATGAGGAACATAAATCCTGGAAGCGCAGACAAAAGCCAAGCGTTAGCAGAACTCGGGCCACGTAGCCGGGTCCAAAGGTCACAGTGTCCCAGCAGACAAAGATAAAAGGAATAGCTGCTACTAGACAGAAATTTAGAAGCAAGAAACAACTTTTTTTTTTTTTAGAACAATTAAGTAGATTTAATTAGGTAGGTACGATATTGCAATGTAAGTCGTCTGCGACCGTGTGACACAGTCGTCTGCCCGTTAGATTTTACAAATGCGCCACAGGTGAGTGATTTTACAGTTAAAATCAAACAATAAAAAAGTTCTATAGTCGCTATTCATCATAGTCATATTCATTCGAAATCGGTATTCACGTGTTCTATAATCAGGGTTGGATAGGACGACAATTCAACTGACTCGAAACTAAACGACAACTAAACGATTCATCAACGTTTCATTGGCAGTTAGTTATTATTAGTTTATAGTATTCTACCAGAATATTAAAATACAGATTTAAGTTTTAAAAAATCTGATTTACGTCGTTTTAATAAAATAAATGGAATTAAAAACAATATTAATAAACATT